CCTGCACTGTCTGAAGAACAAATATTTCAAGGAATTAGAGAACAAGATGGTAGATGGTCAGAAAATTGAAATGCCACAACCATTAAATTGGTAAGATTATTTTCTATATTGACCATCAGCATATTTCTCTTGATCCCGTTTTTGCTGTATAACTGTAACTGTTAGCACTATAACACACTATTTTTAAATGTGTATCTCACTGTGATTTTGATAGTTTGTGTTGCATAAACTTACACTGATCAAGCATAATGATAAACCAGATTTGTTGGCTTATCATTCATTTACAGCCTGCTTATACATACTGCCTAATCACCACTGATGACCACTTAAATCCTCCTAGAGGTAGAAGTGGCTAAATGAAAAGAACTTATAACAAGGAACCAGTAGCTTCTGTTACATCTGAAAGTCATTCTCGGAGGGGGGGGGGGCTTGTGATTCCTTTGCATGTTTAAGTTCATTAACTTCATAGTTAACACGTTCCATACACAAATTGAGTCTGTGTTTCTACAATTTAAAATGTAATTGCTACGACATTGTGGAAGCACCATAGTCAAAGATACTGTTGTCTCACTAGGTATCCAGAAGAATTAGCATGGCAGACAAATCTAAGCAGAAAAGTCCTGCGGAAATCCCCAGAGCTAGAAAAATTTCATCATTTTCTTGTCAGTGAAACAGAATGTGTAAGTATTAATACTGATTAAAAGGTAAAGGTTTCCCCATTGACATGATTGTCTAGGCATGTCCGATCGTAGGAGGCGGTGCTCATCTTCGTTACTAAACCGAGGGAGCCAGCGTTTTCAAAAATGGCTCTGTAGTTGTGTGGCCAGCATGATTGCACAGAACGCTGTTACCTTCCCACCGAAGTGGTACCTCTATTTACTTGCACTTTTACATGCTTTCATACTGCTAGGTTGGCAGAAGCTGGGACTAGTGATGGGAGCTCACTCTGGCACGTGGCACTTGGGTCTCGAACTGGTAACTTGCCGACCTTGCTGTTAGAGTCAGCATCTTAACCTTGAGCCACTTGTCCCTTATTAATACTGATTACTTTTTAAAATTATATGCGTCATTATTATCCTATAAGTAGTCTTTTCCCTCTGTCCACATTCCCTTGGATAATCAGAAATTGTTGCAACACAATGAATAGTATGTTATGTATGAGCATGAATTATATCCATGTGACATTTCTTGTAAACAGTGTGTGACAAAGAGCTACCTCGTGCTTTAGATTAGGTTGACTGCCATTCCAATTATCATTACCAAGGCATCATTGCACTGGGACCAGTGCAAACATTTAATATGGACTTGTTCTGATCCTTCTAGTTCTCTTCATATTCTCATTTGTTGATTTTTATTTTTAGTTGGATATGGCTTTGTGGCATATTTACATGTTCTGCTCAAAAAGTGCCTCTGAACATTAATGTTAGTGTTGAATGTTAGTGTCATTTTTTGCATTTTGTATATTGAGCATATTGAAGACCAAGCACGTAACTCATGTACTTGCATAAGTTGATAATTCTAAATACGTGTTGGAAGCAGTGGAGTCTCAGTATACTTGATTGTTATGGTTCTTACTCCTTGCTCCTGCTATAAGAGGCTTTGCCTCATTATGCACAGGAGTGTTGATCAGAACCTAAGAACAGTGGAATTGTATTTTTGAAAGACCATTTCTGTTTTTCAAACAACATCCCAGAGTTACAAGCACTGTCTATGTATACGAATAAAATGTGTGATGTTTCATGTTATGTCTTCTAGATATGAATATGAAGATTATTGTTACTCTATCATAAAATAGCCAATAATCACAGTAGTCCTCATATTCACAACATCATTTTACCTTATTGGACAAAGTGGGCAGGGAGATTGCAGTATTGGAGAGTGATGGTTTTTGGAGTTCTGCAGAGGCTAATTTTCAGATTGCATGGACTGTTTTAGAATACTACTTAGATGTTGTAAAATCAAACTATAAGTAATGAATATATGATACCTATGAGAATCCAATACAGTATAGTGAATATCTGGCCCTTATAAGAATCCAGTAAACTTGTCACTGTCTTTGGAGTGTTATCTGGCAACTATAAGCACTAATGACTTTCTAAGTGGATTACAGTCCTGAGATTCCTAATAGTGTTGTTCCCAAAATAAAAATATATTTGATCAAAAAGATAATAAGAATAAATATCTAAAATCTGCATAAAATCTCAAAATAGTTTGTAAGAGACAAAGCACATTCTCTTTACGCTAGGTTAGACTTAGTGTTGTGTGAGAGCTATTATCTAAGGCAGGCCTGTACAACATATGGCCCATGGGCTGCTTGTGGTTCGCTGAAGGATTTTGGCCAGCCCATGGGAATGTGGAGGATGCTGGTTTTCTTTCCTCTTCCCCCCCCCCCTCCCTGCCTCCTCCTCCTTCAAAGGCACCACTTTCTCTCCCAGGGCTCCAGAGCACTGCATGGTGGCTGTGGTGATAGCGGCACCAGCATGAGGCAGCTGCAGCTCTTTGGCTGCCTTAGTAATTGGCCAGGGAGAGGTGGAAGAGGAGGGCAGGTGAGCTCCACTTTAGCCTGACGTTTGGTTGCTATGGCTGTGCCACTTCCACCCCAGAAACCTCGAGCAGCCCAGGCAGGAGGAAATGTCTGTTGAATAATAACAACAAAAATTAATAACCTCAGTTGTGACAATATTGGGGGAGCCAGCTGGCTGCTCTGCAGGATGAGGAGAGGAGAGGCTGAGAGAGTGTGGCAAGAAGAGGAGGGGAAGAGGGTCAAGGGGCTTTCCTACCCCCCCATCCTTTAACTCTCTCCTTGGTGGTTGAGACCCCAAGCCTCCTGCCCCAAGAGGTGTCAGATCCAGGCTGTGTCCTGAAAGCAGCATTTTTTTGTTGTTCATTGCTTCCAAGTTGACTTCCCATGCATTATTTTTATGTGCCTTCCAAGTCATTTCTGACTTATGGTGACCCTATCCTGGGTTTTTCTTGATAAGATTTGTTCAGAGTGGGTTTGTCTGTTATCCTCTGAGTCTGAGAAAGTGTGACTTGCCCAATGTTGGCTAGTGGGGCAAGAGGGGATTCAAATCCTTGTCTCCAACTTTAACCCCTGGCTTTCCTTATTATTATTATTATTATTATTATTTCTATCCCACCCCTCGGCAGCGCAATTGAGGCAACTTACAACAATTAAAATTACAATATATACATACAACCCCCAAAACCCACCCATCCCTTAAAAAATTATTCAACTTAAACAATTAAAACCATTTTAAATTAATTCACAGCATAAAAACAAAGCATCACGACAGCAGCAGCATAGAAAGGGAGAAGAATTAGCTAACTCTTGTGCTGGGATAATTATTCAGGAAAGGCCTGGTGGAAGAGATCCATCTTAACAGCCTTTTTGAAGCTGTTTAAGGTGGTAATAAGATGGATCTCGTCCGGCGGGCCATTCCATAATCTGGGTGCGGTAGCAGAGAAGGCCCTCCGGGAGGTTGCCGACAACCTCGTTTTCATAGGCTGTAGCAAATTCCTCCCAGAGGACAGAAGTGGATCATACGGAAGGAGGCAGTCCTGGAGATAGGTTAGACCCAAGCCATGTAGGGCTTTAAACGTCATAACTAACACCTTGTACTGTGCCTGGAAACTGATAGGCAGCTAGCAGAGTGATTTTAGCATGAGTGTAATATGGTCTCTCCTAGATGTTCCCGAGACCAGCCTGCCTGCCATATTCTGTACTTATTGGAGTCTCTGGACCAAGCACAAGGGTAGTCCCATGTAGAGTGCATTACAGAAATCAAGAAGGGAGGTTACCAGCGCATGGATCACAGTTTCAAGATCCTTAGTTTCTAGGAAAGGGCACAGTTGGAGTATCAGCCGAAGCTGATAACAGGCACTCCTAACCGTCGCATTTACCTGATTTGACATCTGGAGTGACAGATCCAGGAGCACCCCCAGACTGTGAACACAGTCCTCAGAGGAGAGTGTGACCCCATGTAGGACTGTTGTTGTATTCCCATACCCAGTTTCGGGCCCGCGACTGTTAGTACCTCCGTTTTTTCTGGATTCAGTCTCAGTCTGTTTTTCCTCATGCAGTCCATTATTGCCTTAAGATAGTCATTGAGAGGAGAGACGCCATCTGAAGTTGAAGCTGAAGAGTGAGACATGGAGAATTATATCTGGGTGTCATCAGTGTACTGATAACACCTCGCCCCATTCTCTGAATGATTTTTCCCAGCAGCTTCATATATATATTAAATAGCATCAGGGACAGGATGGCGCCCTGTGGGACTCCACAATTAAGCTCTATTCTTGTAGAGCAACTGTCCCTGAGCCTCACCCTCTGGGATCTGCCCGAGAGGAAGGAACAGAAGCACTGCAATGCAGTGCCTCCAATTCCTAACCCTCTCAGGCGATCCAAAAGGATGGTATGATCTATTGTATCAAAAGCCACTGAGAGGTCCAAGCGCACCAACAGGGTCATACTACCCCTGTCGATGCCCAAGTGAAGGTCATCAGCCAGAGCATCCATGGCAGTCTCAACTCCATATCCTGTCCTAAAGCCAGTTTGAAATGGATCTAGATAATCGGTTTCATCCAAGACAACTTGGAGTTGAAGGGCAACTGCCCTCTCGATCACTTTGCTTAGAAAAGGTAATAAAGAGACTGGCCTATAGTTGTACATATCCAGGGGGTCCAGGGAAGGTTTTTTTCAGAAGCGGCCTAACTGCCACTTCCTTAAGACAAGATGGAACAAAACCTTTCCTAAGGGATGCAGTGACAACGTCCCTAAGGAACATTCTCAGTGCATCTCTCCCCTTGGTGGCCATGATGGGCAAGGATCAAGAGGGCAGGTTGTTTTCCTCACTCTACCAAGGAGCTTGTCCACGTCATCGGTACTCACAGGGTGTTGTTGCGTGCCTTCAAGTTGTCTGATTTGTTCATGTGGTTTTGCCAGTGCCTCCCTCTGAGGCTGAGAGAATTATTTGCCAAGATCTCTCAGTGGGTTTCCATGGCCACGCAGGGATTTAAACCCTGATTTCCAGGGTCATAGTCTAATGCCCAAACCACTATGCCACACTGGCTTTTTCTTGAGACTTTGTGTTTTGTTGTTGTATGCCTTGAAGTCATTCATGACTTACAGTGACCCTAAGGTGAACCTATCATGTTTGTTTGTTTTTTGTTGTGGTTGTTTTTGCGGCAAGATTTGTTCAGTAGTGGTTTGCCATTGCCTTCCCCTGAGGCTGAGAGTGAGTGACTTGCCCAAGGTGCCCTAGTGGGGTTCCCATATTCCTGGTGGGAATCAAATCCTGGTCTCTAGAATCATAGCCTGATGCCAATGACACTCAACTCTACTAGTCCTTTCCGCCCCAGTCCAAGGACGCTGTCCTAGTCCTAAACCACTGTCTGTCATCGGTAATGGATTGGATGAGGGAAAACAAGTTCAAACTTAATCCAGATAAGACAGAGGTGCTCCTGGTCAGTCAGAAGGCAGATCGGAGAATAGGGATCCAGCCTGTGTTAGATGGGGTCACACTCCCCCTGAAAACACAGATTCGCAGTTCAGGGGTACTCCTGGACTCAGCTTTGAACCTGGAAGCCCAGGTCTCTGCAGTGACCAGGAGTGCTTTTGCACATTTAAAATATGTGCACCAACTGAGTCTGTTCCTTGAAATACTGGATCTGGCCTTAGTGGTACATGCCTTGGTTACATCCCATTTGGACAACTGTAATTCACTCTACTTGAGGCTGCCTTTGAAGAATGTTTGGAAACTTCATCTGGTCCAAAGAGCTGCAGCTGGGCTGCTAACAGGGGCAGGTTACAGAGATCACACAACACCCCTGTTGAAACAGCTCCACTGGCTGCCAGTTTGTTTCCGAACACAATTCAAAGTGCTGGTAATGACCTATAAAGCCCTATATGGCTCAGGTCCAGGTTGTTTACCTTTACCTTTACTAGGCTGTTTGGCAGACCGTATCTCCCCATATGAGCTGGCCTGGGCTCTGAGATCCTCAGGGGAGACCCTTCTCTCCATCCTATCACCATCACAAGCATGATTGGTGGGGACACGAGAGAGGGTCTTTGCTGTGGCTGCCTCTTGACTCTGGAACTCCCTGTCCAGGGAGACCAGGATGGCCCCTTCCTTGACGTCTGACATGTGAAAACCTTCCTTTTCAGACAAGCATTCAAAACAGAAAGGTTTTAAAGAAAGGCCTAGGGTGCTATATTGTTTTAATACATTTTAAACAGTTTTATCTTCTTAAAACATTTGTATTTTAGCATGTAATTTGTAGTAATTATTGTAGTAATTTAATTCTGCTTTAATATACTAATCTTGTATTTTTTAATTGTATTGTTTTTTAATGTTGTAAGCTGCCCTGAGTCCCAGTTCTGGGAGAAGAATGGGATATAAATAAATACCATCATCATCATCATCAGACACTCAAGCTGCTAGGCCACACTGGCTTACCCCACAAGAAAGTAACAACGTTGGAGCAGGGCTGCTTCCCCACCATTCATATTCCCTTTTCCTCACTCTCCAGTACATGCTTAATATTTAAAGCAGGGTAGGCAACCTGTCCCCTTTAAGGGCCGAGGGACTTCAGCTCCCAGAATCCCAGGAGCTATTCGCCAACATGGCTGAGGCTTCTGGGAGCTGAAGTCCCTCGGCCCTTAAAGGGGACGGTTGCCTACCCCTGATTTAAAGGTACTGGATTCCCTCCAATCTTGAAAGCTAAGCTGGTTCAGGCCTGGGTAATACTTTAATGGAGGACAGCCTAGTAAACCCTATGAAATTCATGGGATAGCTGTAAATTGACAGGCAACCTGAACGCATGTTTGTGCATACAATTATAAGTACACAGTAACATTTTCTCTACCAGAAAGGGACTGTTAATAAAATATCTTTGGCTTTAAATGTGTGTATTAGCAACCTTGTATGGTAAAAGGAAATTAAGAACTCCCAAGTTGGGCCACATGTAGGAGATGTTTTTGGACTGCAACTCCCATCCACATCATTATTATTTATGTATATAAAAGAGTATGTAAATTATATACATCATTCATGTATACAAGAGTATGTAACAGGAGGCAGCTAGAGCAGTAAAAGTGGAATAGCACTGTAAGAGTGCTGGCATGGTGTGGTGATCTGAGTGTTGGACTATAGGCCTAAGCAGACTGCCAGAAATAGTGCACATTAAATTGAGGCACTGCCCTGGCTCAGTGCTAGGGAATCATGAGAATTGTATTTTTTTCTGAAACATTGAGCCTTCTCTGTCAGAGAGCTCTGGTGCCACAAAAAATTACAGTTCCCATGATTCCCTAGCACTGAGCCAGGGCAGTGCCTCAATTTAATGTGCACTATTTCTGGCAGTCTGCTTAGGCCCTATGACTCTGGAGACCAGGGTTCAAATCCTGCCTCAGCCATGGAACCCTGCTAGGTGACTTTGGGCAAATCACATTCTCAGCCTCATAGGATGGCAATGGCAAACTCCTTTTGAAGAAACTTGCCAAGAAAACCCTGTGTCGCCTGAGGGTTGTCATAAATTGGAAGTGACTTGAAGGCACACAACAGCAAGAGTGTAGTTAGGTAATAAACTAACTGAAAGTTCTTCATACATCTGAGAAAGAAAGTTCAGGTCTACAAAACTCATGCTACCAGCTTCTTTCTTTCAATCTGCATCTACACTGCATAAATAATCCAGGTTGACACCATTTTAACTGCCATGTTTTGTTGTTGTATGCTTGCCTCTTAAGGCTCCTTCACTGCCTGCCTTTGTTCTGGGAAAGAGCTGGGTGGTAGAAGAGGAGGGAGGGCAAACACATTGGAAAGCGAGCCGCTAAAAACCTATTTGTGGCCCAAAGAAGTTTAGCCTAGTTTAATTTTGGCCTCTACATACTTTGAAGTTGTGTATACCTGATCTAAGGTGATGCTGTCCTTTGGCTATTTTTTATAAATTTTATAAAATTTATAAATACTGAAATTAACAGCAATGAACATTTTAATACTTTTTAGCAAGTATTTCTTGGTCTTCTGAGAATGCCCTATAAATATTTTGAAAAGGTTATAATTTATTTAACTGAAATTGCGGCCCTAATTATTAAAAAAAAAGTTCCCTGATGGTGTGTATTTTGCCCTGTTTACAATAAATATTTCTAAAGTTTTATGTGGGCTTTCTGGGTTATGTGACCTCCTTTTGGAAGATTTTTTTCTGGTTGTTTCACCTGCATCTGACTGGCATATTGAGAGGGTGGTGACATGGAAGTATACTTGTGTGACTCTTGGTTGGGAGGAAGTGATTTACATGTTAATCTGTGTGTAAGTCTGTTGTTGTATTGCAAGGTATCATATGTGTATCTATTTAATTAGATAATGGATTGCTAATTAAATAGACACATCCTTCCGCATATCCTGCCACCCTGTAGCCTTATCACTCAATGACAGACCAACACACAGAATAAGATGTAAATTACTTCCTTCCAACTAAGAGTCACACAAGTATATATACCCCACATACCTCCATGCCACCACCCTTTGAAGATGCCAGCCACAGGTGCAGGTGAAATGTCAGGAAAAAATTCTTCCAGAATGAGGCCACATAGCCCAGAAACCCCACAGAAAATGATGGACGCTGGCCATGAAAGCTTTTAACTTCACAATATTTCTAAAATGTGTAAACTAGATATTTTCAAACATGTCCTTCAAGGGCTGCATTCCCTTGTGGGCTGCCTGTTTCCAGCTACATATTGGCATGAGGAGTGGGGGCTGAAGTCAGCAGTTGGATATTGGAAGGGGCAGAGACAACTCCTGGGTCTCTTTTCTCCTTCTGACAGACCTCTGGAGAAAGACATAAATCATTTTTGCCAACAACCATACAGTTCACTTTCTGAGGGCCACAGGTTGATCACTGCTGCGTTATCATATCCTGGCTTTTTTGTTTCTTAATGTACGTTAAGACATAACACAGAGCTCTGGCTTAACTGAGGCTGCATCCACACTGCAGAAATAATCTGGTTTGACATCATTTTAACTGCCATGGGTCAGTGCTGTGGAAGTCTGGGAATGGTAGTTTGTTGTGGCACCGTAGCCATGGCAGTTAAAGTGGTGTCAAACTGGATAATTTCTGCAGTGCAGATGCAGTCATCGAGTTTCCTGGCTTTTTGCTGGCATTTTGTTGGAAGTTGTTGTACGGTCATTGGAGGAAAGTGGAGCATTGGTCCTGACACTAATTCTTAGCTTCATAAGCCACACTTTATAAAGCCTGTAATAATTGCTTGAACCAAACCTTTGTCTTCAGCTTTGTGTATGACTGGTAACTGAAATTTGTAAATTGGGACAAGTATTGTTAGAAACATCAAATTTATCTATTTTTTTCAGTGTATGTAATCAGATAGAATTGGTACATTTAACTCTTGTTTATTTTTATGTTGCTTCAGGGAAATATTAGCCGTCAAGAAGCTGTCAGTATGATTCCCCCCCTTCTTCTTAATGTCCAGCCTCATCATAAGGTATGAAACTTTAGTGAGGAAACATTAGCTCAGCAGAAATAGTTTTTATACTTGGAGTTACATCTTCTGCATATTCTGTTTTAGACAGGTTACCAGTGAGTCTTATCTATAGGCATTAAAACATTAAATATAGGTGTGCTTCCAGTTATCTATGAGTAAGATAGTACACCATTTATTTATTTATATACCACCTTTCTCCCATGACGGGACCCAAAATGGCTGCCAGAACAACAAATTGCAAACATTTACAAAAAGGTTTTTGAACCAATTTAAAATTCACACTTTAAAACACTATAAAATCATTTTAAAATCATACAAAAGTTAAAAACAAAATAAAACATATATTTTCCTCTTAACCACTAAAAGTTTGCTTAAATAAAAATATCTTTGCTTGCTGGAGAAAGGAAAGCAGGGAGGAGGCAAACTAAGCCTGTTGTGGAAGAGTGTTCCAGAGGGTGGGAGCAGCCACTGAGAAGCCTGTGATCATGGAGAGAAAGCCTTTGCTGATCTTAAAGATCTGGCAGGGTACTATGGAGAGATACAGTCTTTTAAACAATTTGGACCTACGCCATATAG